AAGTTCGTCTTTGGCAAATTATGAATTTTCTTATGATTTTATTTTAAGTGTTGTTATTTGGTATGAACTACTATCTGCTATTAATAAAGTTAGCATTCACAATCAGTATTCACAATCGCTTGAATAATATTTATATTAATTATATAATATGACCTAAATAAATTTTAGTTTCCGGTGATTTGACGCGGCCCATTTCGCCTACTCTATCARCGTTCCTGGGAGCCTCGTCGCACAGTTTAAATATTTCTGGTATAGTATTCATTATTATTCACTWGTAGTATGCCATTGTCTCTGTTCGTTGACCTTAAACACCGTCCTTAGAGTGATCAGAGGGGGAGGGAGCCGGAAACTTTCCATTTCGAATAAAATATAAAGGTACAATTATAAAGATACATGTAAAATGTTTAGAACATTGTACTATGTATAACAATGCATAATAAATATGAATGATCGGTTAAGATTCGAAAATGAACCTCATAATTGGAACCTTATATATTCGTATGTTCAAAATTGTTGAACGCTGTGTACAACCCGCCAGGAATTATATCACTTATGCAGTTATTTCTATATTTTATTGTTTTAATTACTCTGTTCATTGTTCAAGTCTTTGACTCTCAATATAACATACATTTATAATAACATTCTTTTTAAAACGCATTTACCTTTAAGGGACCCGAATAAACCTTTCAAGTTCTTATAATAAATCTGGATGACAATCAAAAATAAAAGAAAATATTTAATTGTTAAACATGTAATATCTAACAGCTATGATCTATGTTATAGACTATTCTAATAAAAATCACAGTGAKCATATTGGTGATAAATKATAATTATATAGTATAATATAATGAGTATACAAAAATAAATTGTATTACTACTTTGCACAAACATATTTTATTATACGGCGTATTGTATAGGCAAATTAGGTACATTGTACTGCAACGTGTTATTCACAATTACATTTTTTTATCAGGTTTTTAAAGTTTTCCTGTTATTCATCATCTAAACTTAGGTAGGTTAATATTAGGTTATTAGGTAATTAATTTTTTGAACTTTTTGTAAATTAGATCACAGTATGGTATAAGTAAGAATTATGGATTTAAAATTTAGTATGCTTTAAAATTTACATTAATAATTTTTATATTATGAAACAATTTAACAATTATACCAGATATTACATTAACGTATCACAAGTATACTCCGTGCGCTGAGTTAAAGTATATGCACACAATCCAAAATTCGTCGTCCAAAATATATAAGCATATTAAAACAAGAGTCTGCACGTACTAGCCAGAAAATTAATTATGCTAACCAYATTTCCACATCTGCTTGCTTAAAAACTATAGTAAATTTACCTTACAATTTACATACAGCCGTAACATAAATAACTTTCCTTCAAGACATTCACATGAGACGATAGTGACACAACAAATAGTTAGGACTTACTCCAATAGCAAACCCATCGGAACAAACTATATAATATAAGTCAATATAAAAATTTGTTCACGGTAAGTTAGAAAATATATTACATGGAAATGAATTAGACCACTCAGGCTGTCCACCTACCATTAGGTAGAACCATAAGCGATCATCGTTGCTGAATCGTCTTTACCGCTCAAGCGACAGACGATCAGCGATCTCACGCTCAGGTAGATGGACTAGTCTCATCATCGTGGCCAATGACGACTCCAGATTTGCACCTGGAGGGGACGATGCATACTACAGAAATGATCCTGTGAAGTATGATCTTAAYCTGMAATWGAWCACTCTCGCCTACTTATAAYGAAATCCATCTCTTCGACACGTCAACTGAAAATAATTAAAAACGTTGTTTAATGATCAATATGTCACAGTTTTCCGTTAAACTGTGCAATCGTRTCATACGTATAAAACTGTGTTGATATAACAMAAAACGTTTACTGGTTTTCAATTATTATTAAGGTTTAATTACGGATTTATAGTGATTTTCATTAAATTTGGAAACATTTTGTWRAATGACGCCATCTATTGGTTTTAGCCGTCAACTATAAACAATTTTTTCGATATTGATTTTGATTGAAAAAATGATCAATTTATAATTTAGAATATTTAGATGGTACTTATATTAATTGTTAAGTCAGGTGAAATTTAGTTCCGTGCACATTTTATTCCGTGGATTAAATTTGTTCTATTTTGGGACGTTGTGTTCAGCCTTTTGATAGTTAACTAAAAATAAAAAAGTTGTCCACTGTCACCTATATCGGATATGTTTTTTTTAAGTTTTAACTAAGATCTTCCAAGGTGTTAGAATTTGGGATTGTCCGTGACTTCCGTATTACAGTTATCTACATATTGTAGGTATTTAATAGTCTTCCTGAAACGTCAGTAATAATAAAATATTCTTCTTCAGGAATTCCTATACCCTATGGAAGATATATTATGTTTCATATTATTATATAATAGATATCTATATAGATAAATGATAATAATAATATAATATAAATACATTATTCATTTTCAATGTTATGTCAATGGTCCATAGAAATATCAAAGACTATTATAATATACACGCAATTAGTTATTTCAGTTAACTTTTAATCTATTCTCTAATGGACTACATAATATAGTCTATGACCAATAATTATATTTCGAGTGTTCCTAAATTCATCGCTCAATCCAGCGAATGGAATAGAAATTTAGGAATAGTTATTTTAATACAATATCGAATAATTTTGTTATAGTTCCTACCCGTTAACATGAAAATGGGAAATTACTTGAATTAAACCGATTACTAAAATTTGGCGCGTAGTTTTTATCAAATTTATCTGGATTTTCGTGTGTCCTGGTTAATTACAGATTTTTGATAACGAAAACTGCCGAGCTTTTAATATTGAAGTTTAAAATTTTGATTACTTACTTGTCTTTTACTTTACTTTCAATTTATAACTTATATAATTAATTAAAAAGGTACTTATTTAATTAAACGATATTATTTGAAATATATATACATATTATTATCATAATTTCATTTTTGTTTAGGTATTTTATTTGAAAAACAATTCCTTATTATTGCATTTTATTACGTTTTGAATATGAGAGTTATAAGATGCCTCCAATTCGAGGGGTGCTTAATTATTCACTAAGAAATCAGCCAAAATGAATTGGTGTGATACATTGTTTATACAATTGATAAAATAATAAGTACTATGTGTACAGAAATGAAAATAATCTTTTAACTACTTCAAGTACTCAAATTGTCAAGTAAGTTAGATAATTGATTTTWTTCTTAATACATTAGAAGGTAMATTCTACATATTATCTCATTGTTTTAATGAATTTCCTAAATCCCAGGTTTGTTGAGATATAAATAMATGTTAATAATCGTAGTAATGACAACTAACATCACAGAACAATCTGTGAACTCTGGGTATTTTCTAATGCAGCGTYTCCCAAACTTTTCKTCCACCAGTCYCATTAGCCTGATATTTAGAGTGGAAGTCAGAAAAAAAGCTTCGGAAAAAAATCCAGGGTAAAAAAACCACGGTAAAAATAATTCYGTATATAATTTTTATATATTTGATCAATAATGTGTAAACAKCTTTTAAATAATRCTTRTTTAATACTTTAATTTTAATTGTTATATATTTAATTATTGTAATTTGGCTTTTTTTCCCTGGATTTTTTTCTRTGGCTTTTTTATCMTACATTTGTTTAGAGTAAAGTAAAAATGATTACTGATCTCTTAATAAAATTAACATAATTTAACAATTATAAATAATTTTAATTTGCAGACTCCCTATAAAYCTAGACCACAGCTTGGGAAATGCTGTTCTATATAATATAGTACCATTGAATATGTTKGTTTTTKCRAAAGTATATTTGAGGTTACCTATTACCTATTTTGATGAGTTTGTTTAGATATTTTAATAGCTGTATTTAGTACCTATTATTTCTGGAAAATAAATAAAAATGTTTATTTACAGAAAAATTCCCCTACTCTATGTCTCTACAATCTACATAATATCATGAGTGTGGACCAACCAGAATTTGAAATAAAGGATGAAAGTCATCATTCTATTCAAAATGAAAATGATATTTATTTTGATATTCCTCTTATAAGTTGTATAAAAGAAGAAGTTACTTCACATGATGACAGTGATCATCTTTTTCCTATTGTTGAGTAAGTCTTATAAGTTAAACAGTAAAATGTATTATAAATGTACTTTTAATTTGGATCAGGTAATACCTATGTGGCTAAGTGTATTGTTTTTTTTTCAGAAATATTAATAATTCTGTCCTAAAGATGGAAAAATATACAGAAGAAAACTGTAAGATTAAAACTGAAATTAATGTAATAAATAAACTAGAAACATATAGTTTCTTAAAAGAAGAACCTGAAGACTTAGATAATAGTTTTCAACCATAGTGAGTGAATTAACACAATTTAACTATAAAACTATTTTTTTTAACTTTATTTGATTGTATTGATGGTTATATTTTAAATCAGTACTCAATACAGTTGTGTTAATCAGTGCCACAGGTCTGTAGATAAAACCCTAATCTATGTACAAAAAAATATGCGCTTTAAGACATTTATTATAGTCTAAGGTTAAAAAAAATTACAAGTGCATGAAAAATATAATTTTAAGTGAAACTTAAGTTTTTTTTAAAAAATCATATTCCTAAAAATGTATTTTGAAAGTGAAAGTATACACAATTAAAAATTATTTTTTAATCTATAATTTTGTGAAACTTTTTTTTAAAGAATAAGTCATACATTTATCTTAAAATCCTTTTAAAATTTTTAATATTTATAAAGTTAAAAGATATTTTTCTAAATTATTGAGTCATACAAGACTTGAAAAATTACTATTTTAGCAGTTACTAATTTACTGAAATAAATTTTATCTTTCAGTGTTACTGTTCCAAAAAATGAAGCTGATAAATTTAAATTAGAACTAGAATACAATGATAAAACTATCATAATTGAAAAAGAAACAATTGGAGATACAGTATTTGAAAGTGAAATTGTTATTGAAAAAAGTGGAATACAATCTACTTTAAACAAAGAAAAATTGAATGCTGGTTATTATTCCAATTTTACTGATTTTCCTAGAACAAATTATGAAGATTTTGTTGATTGCAATAATAAAACTCATCAAAACAAGTGTAAAAGTGAAAAGCACTTCTATATTTGTGATTTATGTCATCAATCATTCATCAATAAACAATTACTCATTATTCATATGAGATATCATTTTACCAACAATGATAACTACCCAAATAAAAATTCCAAAAGGGTTTGTTCAAAAAATACTGATTGTAAACAATTGAAAAAACATAAAAAAAATAAAACATTTTTATGTACGATTTGCGGCAAACAATTCAATGATCAGTCCAATTGTCGAAGACATACATTAAATCATAATCAACATAATTCAAAACAATTCAAATGTAACTTTTGTGAGAAAAAATTTACTACTGAATACAATCTTCATGTTCATATTCGATTACACACTGGTGAATCTCCATATAAATGTGATATATGCCATTCAACATTTTATCGTAACGACATTATGTTAACACATAGAAGGATTCATGAAGAAAATCAGAAAACATATGATTGTAAAGATTGTCACAAACAGTTTTTACATAACAACTCTTTATTGCGTCATTTAAAGATACATCAAGTGGAAARTATGTATTCGTGCTGTCATTGTCAACGATCATATCCACGGAAAGATTCACTTATTGTTCATTTGAGGTCAAGACATACTGGTGAGAAGCCATATCAATGTTACATTTGTAAGAAAGATTTTTTTGAAAATAATGTCCTTGTACGCCATATGATAACTCACAAAAAAAGAAAAAGAAACTAAATGTTTAATGATTTTAAAAAAAATTATAAATTTATATTATTTTATATGATTAACATTTTAAGTCTAATTATATTAACGAGAACGAAAAAAAAAACATGATTAAGAAATCCGACTATCTATATTTCTGTAAGTAAACAAACTGTTATAAACACTTTTGTGTAATAAGAGTTATAATAAACAGAAAATTACTAAAGATTTTATTTTATTTTTTAATTCTAATTATTTAATTGTTCTTTAAACATTTCATTCTTTATAATTATCATTCTCTATAAATTCTTAAATTTGATATCTTTTTTAATACACTAACCTTACATTTAATTTTACCTTAACACATACATTTTAAATATTGTCACTAAATGTCATGGCCTGTGAGAATACAGATTTTTGCTTAGAATCATTTTATTAAATTTATGAAATTATAATATAAAGCTTTCAAATTTAATATTATGGCCCATATGTCACCACTATTTGTGATGGAGTGACAAAACAATAACAATGCTTGACATCTAAACTATTTTTGGCATATTTTTTACATTAAATGAAAAATTATAGTGTTATATGATTACAAATAATATAATTAAAACACAACACATTTTTAAGCAGGTTATTAAGACATTTAGTAGGAAAATTACAATTATATTAAATTAATTTGTCAGTAAATTTTATAATAGAATAATTTTTATAAGTTATTCAGTCAAGTCACAATAACTCAAATCTCAAGAAAGATCAATTTGAGTTGTGTATATTCTGAATTATACACCCAAAATATAACTTATAAACTCTTTAAGGGGAAAGGTGATTTTTTTTATTATAAGTGATTGTGATTAGACTGTAACATATAATAATTTTAGGTATCTATTTCACTTACATCATATAAAAAATGTAAAAAAAATGACTGATTATAAAATCACATATTAGCTAAATGACTATTTATTGTTTGATAAATTGGGTAAAAAACAACAAATCAAAAAAATCTAAACGTAAAACCTATGTAGAAAAAAATAATTGTCGTATATTTGTTGACTGTTGTATACATGTGAAAAAATGCCAGTTATTAAGGATCAACAAAAGATATCATAATATATCTTGTACCATTGACGACTTCGAGTCCTTCATGGTAATGCGTGAGCCGTCCTGGATGCATTAGCATCCAACCTACTTTCATATCTGTAACTTTACACTTATACCTTAAAAAGTGGCAGCCACCTCCCTGTAATAATATAAAAATAATAAATAATATGGAACAAGTTAACATTAATTGGTGCGGCAATTACTGTACCTGATAATCTTTTCCTGGAGAATTTAAAGCTATATTGATGGTATAGGTAGACGAATCATGGTGAGGCCTCAATGAAGCCTGACCAAGTGGGTTGTATTTGACGACAAAGTTCATCAAAGAACGAGGAGGCTATAAAAGTGTTCATAAAATAATATTAGTCATTGATTATTTTATGTATTTAAGAAAATAATTAATCACGATTAATTAAGGCTACATGCATTAAAATAATAAAATGTAATACACCTAACATAATATCTTATGTTCTAAAGAAACTACAAACATATTTTTTTTTACTCAAAATGTCAATTTTAACAAATTTCTTAAAAAATATATTGTTCGTGTAATTCAGTTATGATTTTTTTTAATAAGCCTATAATAGTGTTATAACTTATTTCCTGATAAAATATTACAACTGATATTATGATTATGACAGTTAAACGCTAGAGAAAATTAAAGTTAAAATAGGAAGGTCAATGAGAGATGAGTTATACATAGATTCAGAAATTGATGAGAAGACATCCTCTAAGTTATGTCACTCAATTTTGTTTATCACGAGGCAGCAAAAGATATTATTTAAGAAGGAAGCATTATTAACAATTAATGGCAAATTTGTGCATTTATACTGATGATATTKAATATTGAATTAACAGCAAGAAGTGAAGCAGCCRTGAGATAAGCCCTACTGTAATATTGAAAATATGAGAGGATTGAGTGGATTAAAAATCAAYAAAGAGCTAAATACATGACATTTTTCAATGTGGAAACATATAGCATTGATCTTTATGGAAATATATGTCACTAGTTCAGCAGTTTACGACAAGATTTTAATTTTATGTAACTTAAAATAAATTTCAAAATTACATATATAATCAATAAATATTAAGATAAAAAAAAATATTTTGGGTGCTAGTGAATGAGCACTATTTTATAACCACCAAAAATATTTAATACCCTAGGTTAAGTAATAAGCATTGTCTGGAAGAAAATATAAAACTATTTATTTATRATAAATTCATTATGGCTATTAATATGATAATAATTTTTAAGTTTTAAAAATTGATCAAAATTATAGTCTTAACTAGTTGCCAGTAAAGTAAAATCTAACTCTTTAGATACATAAAATATAAAMATTCCGTGGTAGAAAATAAGTTAGTTAGAGCAAGCAAGCAAAAATAATGGCTTCATAAAAATATGAACAATGTACAATTATTTTATGATTAAAAAAATAGTTATAACTTTAAGTAAAAAGCAGCTTACGCCATCTGAATAATAGCCAAGATATACATGCTCCTGTAATCGGGAAACAAATAGTCTTAAGAACTCTAGCCACACATTTTGTAACCCAACTTGTTTCATATGAATGTCTCTTGTTGGTACAGCTTCATATCCATTATCCAATCTGGGGTCCTAGGGTTTGAGGTTATCATGCACTATTGTTAATAATTATTCTCACATATTACTATGGAGTATTTATACACACATAGGTAAAATTATACTAAGTTTAATGTTTAATGTCAAGCAGAGAACACACACATGCTTTTATATTGTTTTAATTCTGTTTGGTTTTCATTCCCACATACGTCGTGAATGTAACCAATAAATGCTTTCTTTTGTAATGGCATAACATATGAGTGAAGAAATTCGAGCCAATGCTTCTCAAGTCCAACTTGATTCATGTGTATGTCTCTGGTTGGTACAGCTTCATAACCAGTTCGAAGGCGTGTATCCTTCAATTCAATTTATGTCATTTGCTGTTCAAATTTTAGTATCAAAAATAGTATATCAATTGAATGACTTACATTATTTGAACCGTCTGACCATTGACCAAAATTCTCCATAATTTCAATGAATTCTTGGCAAAACCGTTCAGTTACAATTGGGAACCAAAACACATCTGGACATGGCTTTAAAACAAAATTAATAAATACATCAAGATATAAGAAGAATATTTAGTTGAAGATTTATTAAATAATTACCTCAGCAGGTTTTTTATCTGGATTGAAATTTTCCATATATTCTGGATGAATATAACGCTGTTCCCAATCATATCTGTTTTCAAATATTTGATACACTTCAGGATTTTTAAGAGTAATATCAAATGATTCTGAATCAATCAAATGCCCATAAGCATATTGATTATCAATATACATAAAAACACCCTAAAATAACATTTTCATAAAAAATGTTTAACTTAAAAATTATGATTTCAAAATACCTTTTCTCTTAGTGATTTACTAAATGCCATATCATAGTCCAAGTTATCTTCTTTGTATGATGGCCTAGTGAATTTATTTTCCAACATTGTACCTTTCATTAAGTAACAACTACTTATATAAGGTACATTCCAGATTCCTCTAAAACATTATCGTATATAAATATTTTATCAATATGTTAAATCTGTTTTTTTTATTTTTATTTTAACAAATTTGTCATTATAAAATGCAAAAGGGGAATTTAATAGAATTAGCAATTTAAAAGGAAGTGCCCTTTAATTGATCATAAATCAGGATAGGGTCAGAATCGCATCCAACATAACGAGGATACAGTTAGTTTTTCATTGTAGTCAAAAGAATAAAGTTGTGACAAGGCATAGCAAAAACAAAAAAGACATTAAGTCTTACTAAAATTTAWATACATATCAAAGTTATTAATAGAAAATAAAATAAACAAAAGTAATAAAAATATTAAAATTTACATKYTACTTAGTTAAATAATGTAGATTATTATTTTTTCAAAGATATTACAACTGCTACTRACTTTAAATTAATAAATTACATTTAACTTCTTTTGACAATTTTTCAGGTGAATGCAGAATGGGATTTAAAAACTTAATAGTAGTTGCATTCATCACAGTAAGTATATTTGCAATTATAACAGATGTCAGTGGTAAACGTGGAAGAGGGAGAAGTAGATCAAAAAGCAGAGTACAGATTGGATTACCTATAACTGGAAAATACAGAGACCCAGAATCTGATCAATATTACAATCATAATGATGTATTGTGTCAAATATTAGTTGATAGAGTTAAGAAGTTTGATTTGTATCATTCATTTTATTTTAGGGGGCAAAAATTGTCATGGCATCACATTTTGATTATGAATATGTACTTGGGCACAAAATAGTGTTTGTTTGTGTAGCCAGAGGAAATCCGAGGCCTCAAATCACTTGGTATAAAGATGGAACTGAATTGTATTATCATTACAATCACCATGTAAGTACAATATTTTAAAGAATAATTTCAAGGGATCAAATTTCATATTATCTAATAATGACATGAAATAAAATTACATTAGCCACTGTGAAGTGCTTACTAAATATATTTTGAATAATTTGTACTTTAAATAATAATAATAAAAACAATATTATGTAAAATATATTTAATACTAGATTTTTTTATTTAAGGTTCATGAATGGAATATTGGTGAAGATAGCCTTAAATCTAAATTGGAAATTGATCCAGGAACACAAATGGATGCTGGTGTATACGAGTGTTCAGCTGACAATAAATACAGTATAGATCGTAGAAGTTTTAAGACAGATTTCAGTATAGCATTTGAATCATAATGAAAAATAATAATTATCGGTGTGYSTCTTTAATAAAATACATTTTTCTTGATTTAGACTTACGTTTTATTGTAATTGACAATATCCATATAGTCAAAYGATCTAGCATAGAATCCTTCTTTAGATAAGGCACCCCAAAAGTTAGACCAAGCTTTAAATGGTCGTGTGAGCATTGGGGCAATAATTTTTCTAAATGAAAAATAAATGAAACATTATTTATTATAAATTATTGATAAAAATATGCTTACTTATTATGTTGAATTAATGTTTTCAATGTCTGTGGATTATCTAAATGTGCTTCATTTTCAATATAAAATAAAAAGTCACACAATTTGCTAGTGCATAATGAACTGTACAAAATAATAATTAATTATTAATAGGTACATACTAAACAAATATAAATAATATAAATATTTAAAACAATATTTACAATGAAAAGTGTCGTGCATGTATGCTTTCTTCTGCAGTCTTATGAAATACAAATGATGCATTGTACTTATCACCTACYCTAGAAATAAATTTATCCACGTGCTCTTTATGATAGTCCACCTAGTTRTTTAAAAACAATACATAGAAAATTAATAATAAATAATAATAATACAGTTATTGATTAGTAAGAAACATTTACAAGTGTAGTAATAGACAAACAAAGTCTGCTTTTTGGATAATCAATGTTTTCAATTTTGTCTAAAAACTCATCAAAAAATGGAGTCGGTTTATCAACTATTATAGATAAAAGCACTTTTGGATAATTTTCTTCCTAAAATATATAAAAATAACAAATTAAGGYGTGTACCTATCATGAAGACATAATAAGGAGACCACTCTTTTTCTGAAAACGCCTCAAAATGAGTTGCACGATTTAAATGGCTACAGATTTGGATGTGATCTTATTAATTGCTTTAACCATTAACCAGTTAAGTATTTTTTGGAAAATATAAACATACTTTAAATCATAACCCATTATCAATGTTATAGTTAGTAAAATTACACATTCATACATGTGCATATGTGTATATTTCATTACATTTTTAAGAAAAAAATTTGAGTGTTCCTAACTATATATATTAGTACAAAATTATCATTCAAGAAGAAAAACCATATGTGATGTGTATGGTGTATTGATTAGTATCGGGCTCAGACTAACCGTGAATACTTATATTTAATATAAAATGTAAGATAGTTACAGTGTTAATGAATTATTAAGTCAAATAATTTACACAATAATAAAAATTTTTTATGAAATATTCACAAATACATTGCATATATACTAATTGCGTAATTGATAAGTACAAGCTATCAAACTTTTAATGGGTTGAAAATAATGTATRTATTTCCAAAAAATGTAAGCAGTAGCATGAGGCCGTTTCATTRTATAGCTCATTCCCAGCAGTTTTTTGAGCAGGTGGCCATATAAATTTGGTCTCATTATTCTAGTCTTCAWGGTTAAAATTGATTATAAATTTGTATAGAAAAGTTATAAGTGAAAGAACCTTGAGTGTTGAAAGATCTATATTGTTGTCATAGCATGTACTACAGCCATTCTCAGGAGACCACTTATTTGGAATATAGTTTGTGTAGCTATTAAATGTTATTTTAGATAATCCATTTCCATGCATAACAGCTGGTTGAGTATTAAAATTAATATTTTCTAATACATATGATTTATTTACAAGTTTCAGTTTTATATCATCTGTAATTAGAAATAAATCATTTTAATCTAATTGAAAAAAAAAGAAATTACAGTTCATATGGTTAAATAGCAATATTATGTATATATATATATATATATATATATATAATTAGCCACAGAAAAATTCTATAAATTAAAAAATTGTATTAATAATTGTAATAATTCTGTTTTAAAAAACTGTTTGAAGCTGTAGTTGTTTAAACAGTTTTCCCTTTGATAACAGAAAAAAATATAATTAAAGAACYTATAAATATGTAAATTATAAGTTAGAATACCATGGTTAATAAATTATTTTATTTAAAAAATATAAACATGTAAATGTTGTAAGCTTAGAGTTATAAGCTTAATTGTAATTATATAAYACTGCTCATGTTGAAAATCTTAAGTTTTAGATAGAAAAAATTAAAAAATGTTCCAACCTTCAGCAAGATAGACGTTTTGAAATAATTTTGCATAATTATCCAACTTAATGTTAAGCTTTTTACGTAAATCAGTATTTAAATACAAATTTGTCAAATGCAATTGATCGTCTCCAAGATTTTTTATTGGCTTCTCTGATAGTAACTTGTACAATTTGCTAGCATAACCAATTATACCTGTTTAAATAAAAATGTTAAAATTAATAAAATTTCATAAGCACTTATTATTTTCTGTAAGCCTAAACAATATTATATTACAAAATAATATTAAATATTTATAAATTATTTTCTAGCATAAAACAAATATTAATTCATAATATTTTAAATAATGTATTAAAATTAGCATGAAATTGTAAACTAACCTCCTGAGTTTATAAACCGATAGCCATTCTGATCAACAGTAGGATATTGGTCTGCTAATTTTCTATCTGGCCAACAACTATTTTCAGTTGAAATTACTATAGAAGAATCAAATTCAGTGAATGTATTTAGAATTTTAGTGCTGTTAGCTAAAATTACAACATCATACCTGAAAAAGCATAATTAAATTTAACTCAGTAACCTAACCAATGAAATATTGTTTTAATTAAAAATGAATTACGCATCAGTGAGTAGTACTGCCAAATTATCATTGTCTTTATAAGGCTCTAATGCTTCAAGATACAAATTTAGTTTGTAACCACCACCAACACTATTCATGTTACCTCCTAGCCACGGCTTATCAAAACCAAGCACCTAAAGAAAAATACATAAATTAGGAAATGAAAAAATTCATAAAAATTTTAAGCAATAAAATATAATATTTACTTTAGTTTTAAGACCATTTAGATTAGCAGAATCAATGAATCTTTTGAAACCATCATTTTTTTCAGAAGCTACTGTGAGTACAAGCAAATCTAAAATTAATTAGAACTATAATTACTTTTTAATTTTTATGTGTATAAAAAAGATTTATCGGTTTGACACTTTTGTGTAATTCAAAGTTGTAATAACTTTAAAACTACCTGCAATAATTAGTACTTATTTATTTCTTAAATTACCTACACAATTAAAACATATATTATTGTTATTATTATTATTATTTTAATAAAGTAGCAGAACCTAATACTTATTATATTATTTAATGATAAATTATAACGAATAATAATAATTTACTARTTTATTCAAAAATAACTAGCTTGACTCAATGGTTCAACTGCTTGCCTACAATTTTTGAAACTGTACAGTTAAACAACTTGATTCAATTATATTTTCTAATAACATTTGTACTCTCATCATCATTTAAAAATAAAATTACGGCTAGACACTCATGACCATCTCATATAAGCRATATACCAAAAACCTAACTTATACGAAATTTTATTGGTAATAAGTTGGTCCAACCCGAGCCTGAAAAAGCAATACTAARTGTACAGTTCTTATAATACTCTATTTAGATTAATAAAGAATTAATAAATTTAATTCAGATTTTGAACTAGGAATTTATATTTATAAATTATATTACAAGTATTCAATTCCATAATCATCATATTATTTTAAAATAAAATTATCAGATAATATTATGTTAAGTTTACACCAGATGTACAGATTACACATACAACAGTACAACAGAAAATGAGAATTTTGTGATTAATATAAATACAATTTATATGGAATAAAATATTATATWATATGATTAGATAAAAATGTGTGAATCCATAAGTAAAATTAACAAAATATTCATATAAACACATGTAAGGAAAAATAAACGGAATGACATTTCCGACTGACCCTAGTAAAAATAAATGATAAAACCCAAACAGGAAGCATACAGAAATGATTAATGTTAAAGATAATAAATAATATATTTGAAAAATCATACAAAACAAATATTTTATTTGTATGGTAATATTAGTAAGTTAAGTAACATAATATTTATTAGGTACTTGTACGATTATTTATTAAGAATTGGGATATATATATTTTTATGCTATATAAATGTTTGATCGATAAATATTTTTTTCTAAGAACTAAAAACAAATTATTATACCTATGTGTTTAATTTATGAATTAGATAATAACGATTAGTGATAGCTAAGTATAAAATAAATTGATTAAGCCTTATAACAGTTCCAAAGTTTAATATTTACAATGCTATTTATCATGCATGTTAATATTAACCAATTAGATATAATAAAAATATATTCTTAACATTTTTTGATATTTAGTTTAGCAAAAACAATACACCTACCAAATATAGTATTATATAATATTTTACTTTTACATATAAATTTTCTTGAATTTGTATAATTAGATTATTTATAACACAAATGTCTATTTGTATTGACAAAATAATAAATAATTTATGCTGGAAATCCTACATTAGAGTTACCTATTACCTACCTACTCAGGGGAGCGAATTGTAGGAAAATTCCTTACAATGATAAGTAAATAAAATTGTAAATATGCAACAATACTCATAGAGAAAATATCTACCATTATACATTTATTGCAAACACACATATTTATTTCAATATACATACTTATAACTTATGAAAATATAATATCTTGACATCCCCTGAATAGTATACACACAATTAATTAATATTTTTATTTTATTACAATATGGTTAAGGAACATGTAAAATTCAATTCTATTCACAYGAAGTAGGTATCTATTTTGTATAAGGATCCAATACAACAGCTCCAAACTCCAAAATAGACCTCACAATTTAACTAAAAATGTTTAAGTTTTTATCTAATTCTCTAATAGGTCTCTAATTTAGATTCATTAGTAATTTACTCATTTCATATTTTTTTTTTCTAAACTAAGAATACAAGCCAATGGATAATGATACAGTATAATTTATAAAATGAAAAATGATCAAATAAGATAAGAAATTTGCAAGAGTAAACCAAATATTTATACATTTACAATTGATACTTAACTAGTCATGMTTGTTCACAATTGTACACATTTGCCAATTACAAATTTTTTAATAAAAACGTTTTATTGGTCAATTAATTTGATACAGTTATATGATGTCCACAACAAGTAAAGTACGTACAAGGAGATACTAGAATTTAAAATAATTATTTTATTTTTTATAAAACACAATTAGAGTATAATAATCAGATATTCTTATCCAGTTGTATTTACATAAGAATACAATTACATTAGGTGACCATAAAAAAAATCAACTTATAAATAATTAATGTAATAATAATATATTRTAATATGTATTTAAGTATCAAATTTACTCATCTAATAGCTACAAACTTTGCTTATTCAATACATATAATCTAAAAAAGACCTAATGAATATAGGTAGGTAATCAAATAAAAATGGAGGGTTTTATTTTATTTGGTATTTGGTAGGACCTAAGTAATATTAATTAATTTTAAATTATTTATGAGTTACCTAGAAGCTGAGTTTTATAAAATAAACTTATTGATAAATTTATCTATGTCACTGTTCTTATTGCATATTTACTAATTAAGTAATTGATTGTCATTTGTCAATATTTCTATATAGGTTTTAAGTACTTTATGTTACTATTATGTACATAATATTATTATATTGCCTACTAAAATATTATACAGATCACTGGTATACTGCAGCTACATAAATAATGTCTAGAAATACATTCCAGAGATATAATGTTGAGTTGGGTATTTTTCTTTTGAACCATTATGTTCTGGAAGATGAATTACCCAATTCAGGAATGCAGAGGCGTTAACGAGTCTCTGCTTGTGACACGAGTTTATTTTTGTAACGGTTTTAAAAATAACACATTGGACGAGGTGATTATAGTGGAAAATAATAAATTATACTCACTGAGGTCACTTTTAGCGCTCACGTCTTTTTCGGTGGACACTGTGTCCAATGCGAAGAACAAGCCGCAGACGGCTATGCAGACGCCGAACGGGGTTTTCATCGTTTTGATGATTATTCAATTATTTATAAAATGCATAACAATCGTGAGTCGTAGCTCTTAGAGAGCAGAAGTCGATACACTTATATGTACGACAATTGCCAATACAAAGTTATACTATAGTCGACGACAATAAAAATCACTACCTATGACACCATCAGGCAAACGCACATGCACGACTGACGACTATCTCAGGACGACTGAACAAAATGCCAATTTATTGCCAGTATAGTGTGTAGTGTACACGGTAGAGACTAGAGACGTAGAGTGTGATACCACAGAATAGATCACTGATGAATTTTGTTCAGAAATGAATACGATCACTCGAGCYAGGACGCGYGTGATTCGTCGCCCACCCGATTAGTTTATCGCACTACCGGAAGATCATGTGCGCCGGACACGAGAGTAACACAAGTTTCGCCATCTGGCGGTACGTACGTATGATACAAGTAACATTATTACTTGAACACATTCGTACCTAAATTATTATCATCATTATTATTCAATCACAGCGAACAATACATTTAATAATTAATGAAAGTTGTAATACAATATTTACCCATGATAAATAACAATGTAGAACGATCAGACCATCTGGAATCTAAAATAAATTATAATGTAGGAATATCGGTAGCTTTCAACCATCTTACAGGTTCAAAATGCATAAGATTTTGAACTGACCCGCCAAGCTGACTAATKTTTTTGATCTTGAACTCCTAGTTTCTAGGTACCTACTACAGCAATCAAGCTGTATAATAAATCCGAGTAATTATGRCCATTGGTCTGTCAAATTCGATAAAAAGAAAATAATAAAACGAATCCTTTTATTTGCTGAATTATGGTGAAATAAGAATAATACAATATTTTCTCTTTTCAATCTCATTAGTCATTATACATCTATACCCTCCACCTACGGAATTATGGGCCGCAGGCTGTGATTTTGAAATATAGTAGGTAGGTACTAGATATTAGGTACTTCATCGTTCTCATCAGAATCAAAAAAAAAGGTTGGAGACTTCCGAATTGTAGATTATAGCATAATTTGATTATATAATCATATGTTATATATTATAGAACATATGTTCTAGTGTTCTACCACCACAGACTCAAACTCAAGTAATCAGAAGAAATTTGAAGGACACTTTCGTTTACTAATTCGAGCTTTAAGACTTTAAGTGGGTATTGTCACTTGTCAGTATGTGGAGTGACATATACACATATACATAATAATTTATATATCTGTGTAGGCAAGAACCGTCTTTAACCTTTTTGAGGCCCTGGGCAGTTTTTTTTTTAATGGAGCCCCTACGATGGACGACCGACCCGCGTTGATTGTATTATTATTATTATAATAGCTATATTAGCGATTATCCTTKGAATTTTCTCGAAATAAGTTTATTTATCGGAAGTTAATGCCGATTATTGGTTGGTGATTTGGCAGGAACTAGGGGCCCCATTGATCGCGGGGCCTCGGACATGTGCCCAATGGAAAAGATGTTCCTGTGTTCAGGTGCGTACTTTACATCATAATCAAAACTAGAGAGTAGGTAAACAAAATATAGAGATGGAATACCTACAGATTAAAAAAAAGTATTATTGACTTACAATTTAATAACTTGACATATTGTGTAGCTRCTATCCGAAAACAATTAGGTATTATTTCATTAATAATTCTTAGAGGCAGGTTTTTACTGAATGACTGAATAGCTTTCAATAAACGTCATATCAACACAATAAATTCTATATTTTTATTAATATTCCGTAAAATTTAAAGTTATTCTACTAAATTTCACTTCGGCAATTCGGCATACTTGTAAATTAGCAGCCTATCGTTTTTTTCTCTAATATGCGCGTTCTATGGCGTTTTATAAGAATGTAAAAAAAGTCTGATTAACTTCGTTTTGAAGTTATTGGTGAACAATTTCAAAAAGTACAGTTTTCTATATCACGAATTAAGATGTTAACATTTTTATTGTCATCCCTGAGATGGTTTTGCATAATAAGTCAAGAATAAGAGATTCCTTAAATATTAACTCATCAGGTTATTTATATATATATATATATAATTATCTGTCACAAGAACCATTACAATTTTCTAAGATTCATTATTAGCATTATTTTGTGAGGGTAAGAGATTTTTTTTACATGGATTCAAAAGAAATTTTCCAAATTTATTTARTATGCTGTTTAAAATTGGAATTATATTTTCAGTACCTATCAAATTTCTCACCCAAAAGAACTTTTTTCTAAACATAAACTAGTCTAATCACGATGGGTGAAAATCGACCAGAATTTTCGATACTTTTTGGCACTTTCCTGAACTCTGTTATTTGCTTCAAAAGGTTATATAGTATTAACTAATTAAGTACTGAAATATTAACCATATTGTTATTATTTTATTAAGTTCGAAATTTAATCGATGCATGTATATTTATTTGATGTTCATAGTCAATAAAATCAATGTTAAACAAATATACTTACACTACACTACGGTGTTTGGTTGTTTGGTATCCACATCAATGATTTGTGGAAGTATATATTTTAAATTTCTTAGAACATTAAACAATAATTTCATTCGTATAATACATTATAACATAGGTGATAGCCGATAGGTATATATTTTAAATGAATGTAATATTTCAATGCAGGCTTTGACTCATGTATAGCCACGCCGGCCACCCCGGCCATAGAAGGAGCTATGGTCCTATGTACGATGCTGTTACATGTACAAAGTACCTACTACCAGTACTACCTACTTACTTTGTTACATAAATACTGTTATCTTTTATTCATAATCATATGCTACATTTAYTACGTAATCTCATCAGTACTTTAAAGTTCACATAATTATAAGTTATTTATAATTAATTACTTAATTCGATCTACATGAATTGAATTCCCTAGAAAAAATATTCTGCTTAAGAATATAAAATTTAAAAAACTTACATAATTACTATTCGAGAAAATGAGAGTGTTTATCTTTAAGAGAATCATCTCTTAAAGATAAACAATCATCACAGAATAATCTTGTAAATAGCAAAATTGTTTAATGGATAACATACAATATGAAATAATGTACCTATCTATCTACTTGCCTATCGTTKGGCGATGCGTAAATACAATGTTAGATTTAGTGATTTGGATACCTACATAATTATAATTACCTAGTTAAATCATGGTTACATTATATATACCTACCTAATTTAATATTTAATAATAATTAACACTTAAAATTATGATTATTAACTTAAGATAAAACATAGATATTATGCTTAATGAATAAATATCTATAATATTTTGTATTATAATACTGACCAACAAAAATGACGTTAATATAAATGGGAATAAATAAACAAAAATTAATACAACTCAAAATCATAATACTTCACTTAATATACGTATTGTGTTCAATAGTTAATAAAAATAACACTGTGTAACGTTAACGAGACTTTAACAAACTGACAGTTGATAATTACAAATAGGTACAGTGAGAGATTTTATTTTTATTTTTTCGCAATACCTTTACTATAGTAGAGAGGATGGAAAGCGTGACAAATAATGATGAAACGGTCGCGTTGTCGTTGAATAAGCATGCTACGAAACAGTTTTCCGATATTTTACAAAACATATTTTAATTGGGTTTTAATTTTAATTATTTAAAAGAATACAATAATTGTAGTGTAACTATACGTAGGTATAATAATATATATTTGTAGGCTAATAAACATTGTATTTGAAGCCTTTAATTAATAATAAAAAAAAATATATATATTATACTATATTATTTTATATAGGTACCTATAATTAAGTGAATTTAAAACTAGCCATATTAAGTGATCATATAGGTATAGTAATATACATAACAGTTTCCTCGTTTAAACCCAAACACGTACGTTCATGTCCCARGAACTTGTGACCACAGACATACCATTTGGTGACACACTCAGAGAAGTCACTCTATTCTCGTGTCCGTTCAAAGTACCTGTAAGCCAGTAAAACATTTTATATATTATTATTTATTAGGTGCATCATAATATTCATAATGTATATACTTATTATAGTATTATTATGGTTAGTTTTGGAATGCATAGAATGCCATGAAACTAGTCTAACCATCAGAATTATRAGAAACTATAACTCATTTAATAAATATCCCTTCCTTGGTCCTGAATATTACATTATTTCGTGGTGGTCACTGGCCAGTATAGGGGCGTATAGAAGAGGCGAGTGTTCTAAAGAAAGGTATACATATAGTCGGTGGCGGTTATGAAGCCGAATTCGGAATTGGTAGAGTTATATATAAAATTCCAAAATATGCTAAAAAAAATAATTTCTTTGCCTTTGAGATGCTAATATAATTTAAATAAATTAACTTCTTAAGGTTAGTTTTAAAGGATATATTATACCATTATAATATCATCAGTGGTTGCGGTTTTAAAGCATCTTATACAGTTAACATCAGATTATCCGGATTTTATTTAACCTGTTAAAGCATCATCAGTTTTTAAATAAAAACTAATTTTTCCGAAACTTAAAATTTAAAATGAAGCCACTCGCCAGTCACCACTCTAATAATCATGTATAAGTATACCATGCATTTTCTTAATTTAAAAAAAATAGAGTCCTTTAATTACATTTACCTAAAGGCTATAATGATTCTAAAGTGTAATAATATATACCAGCAGTATTGTTATATAATATGGTAAAATATGGTTAAATTCATAATTTTCTTACATGAAATCCATCAGCTTAACTTTTAGCACCTAAGTTAATAAGTTATGATAAAAYATAAATGTCCAATTTTGGCTCATTATATTATTGATCAACTTATATATTTATAAATCAAASCAACGGCATCGTAGATTATTCGTGTTATGAGTTTATGACTATGAATGCATGTCAAATAATATCATATTTAATATAAATATAAAATAKWTAATAGATAACAAATACGCTTACCATTGTGTTGGACTTTCATCGTGTCCCATACATGAACCGAGTTATCATCACTTCCAGCCAACAGAAACCTTCCGGACGTGGACAGACCACACGAAGTAAATCCTGAAGTGGAATTCGGTGGTTTGTACATAGCAATTTGTTGATCAGACCTAATATCGTACAGACGGGCGGACTTATCCTCCGAAGCTGTAGCAAATCCGTATCCGCTGTTATGAAACTATAAAAAAAACAAGTTCATTTTTTTCTTTTTCAGTTTATTTTTATGATGATACCTAACAATTTTTTTTTTTTATATCCGCTAGCATAATATATGTATTATAAACTATGGGGATACATACACAAACAGAATTCACGTCAGCCTCGTGTCCAAAAAACACTTGTTTACACTTTAATTCCCTACGGTCCCATAATTTACAAGTCTTGTCCACGCTACCCGTTACGAAAATATTTTGATCCTGTGCCAACGATAATGACACGACATCTCCACAGTGAGCAGCTTCTACTTCATTTGTTCTTTTACCAGCTTCTAAGTCCCACATACAACTGTATAATGAGAACACGAAAAAATTAATAACATTTTCATAATAAATATATAATACGTATAGGTACACGTAAAAAAACAAATAAACTTGTAATTTGAACTGATTTCTACTATATGTAGTACCTATGTCTTATAACTAATATATTTTATAATTTATATTTATTTTGACGAATATACCATATTATACGATACAAGTAAGCGCTGCAATACATTTATGTGGTAAATTTATAAATATAGGCGCGTAATAGTTACATTTTCATGTCTCCAGATCCGGTGATTAGRGTTTTATCATCGACAAATCGACAAGACGACAAAAATCCTTCGTAACCCAATAACTCGCGTACCATTTTCGCTCCTCCGTTTGAATCACGATTATTTAAGTCGTATACTGTGCACATATTATCCATCCCTCCACAAGCTGTACAACACACATTATTATGTTAGAGTAAAATTTAAAAAACAAATTATAGTATCATCGTTTCGAGTTTATTACTTTTTTCATCATAATATATCGTATTATTATATTATGTGTTTTTTAAATTATTCGTTCACAAGGCCAACACGTTTTATGACTTATATATCAAACCCATCCATATACATCCCAATAAACATACGTATTATAGTCATCGCTCCACGTGGCATAAATATATCRATGCATTGTTGATAGAATACATTGGCACATAATATTTATATACTAACCGACATAGTTTCCCGTCGGTGCAAATGCTACAGACATGACCCAGGCTGAACGTAATGGTATAACTTGTATTTTATTACCAGTCCATGTGTCCCATATGATAAGTTTGCCGTCTAACGATCCGGAAACTGCGTGTCTGTAAAGAACATTAGCATATTAGAAAATCATGTGAGTGTTCAATTCATTAGGTATAAATTATAATTTATGATTCTTAAACAGTAGTAGGCATTTCATAATATWAGTTGTTGCTATTTTATTTTTACTTTACCTGCTGTCACCACTATAATGGACAGAGTTTACTTTATTAATATGTCCTTTGAGCATTTTCTTAGTTGCCAATTTACACTTTGGCGCATCAGCCATTCCATTAGATATTTCCTCAATGGTTTTGTCTTGTTTGCTTTTTTGGTCTTGCTATAATCACAGTAAATACATTATGTTCAGTATTTACATTCAGAAAATTTCAATAATGAAATATACACTTAAAAAAAAATGTATTAATTAAAATGTAGTGAAATAGGTAAATTAAATATTTCTAAGTAGAAGATATTTTTCTATAATAGGGATATTTCAAGTTGTAAATGTTTTAATTATAATGGAACATCATTCAAACTTACCAATAAGATAATACCGGCCAAAAAAACTGAATTTGCCAAAATAAAACAAAAAAAAATCCTAATCTTAAAAAATATATATGTGGACATAATATTTATTAATATAAATAGTGATTTAAGACTAGGTCAATAGTTGAGAATAACCGATTAATTTTCAATCGTATTAGACATTAGACAAATGAGCATTTAATTTGTACATAAAAATATAAYATAACTAGTATTTAAAAAATGAAAATAAATTTGAGTAAGCAAAAGTAATTAACTCTTTTTAACAATTATACACTTTTAAAGTTAACGATGTGATAGAGTCGTTACATACGAACCTTACGATAAACGAGATGGTGGAGCCGTGGAGAGTGTTTAAAATTTAAAAATACATCACATTATCAATTTTATATAGGTATGACAACTATCTCCTCTCGACCTCATAATTCCTACCTCAGATACGCTATTTATTTTTGTTCCAACAAAATATTGTAATGTTAACAAAATCTTGATATAAGTCGTATAATAAATTTGCATAATTGCATATGTTATAGCCTATAGGTAGTTATAGTGTTAAAATCTATTTAATAACTACGCGTGCAGCGTAGACCATAGTTTAGACATATTATGTAAGTATTCTGCAGTCTGGAAYTCTGGAATGACATATTATCTCATTGCTCACCCAGTCATCACCCTTCTCACAATTGATTTTTTTTGTAAAAATACTAAAAGGACCAAAAATATTGAATTCTTTTCCACTAGATGACTTGATCGTAAGTTAATAAAAATAAAAATAAATACTTACATCTATGAGTGCATTATAATAAAAAGAAAGAACTGAAATATTTTTTAAGTTAATTATTATGAAGGTATTTAAATGGTTAGGTTATCGTGTAAATTGTATCCATATACATATTACAAATGCATAAGCAATTTCATATTGTTAAGTATAAAATATGTTACACCTTAAACATTTTACTTTCAATGCGGGTTTGTATTGTTTTATATTTATAGGAAAATTATAAAAAAGTAAACCGTATAACCTGCAACTCAAAAAACTGTTCGTCCGCTTCACGGTCTGACTAATATCATATATTAATTAATATAGGTATCTATACCTATAAGCGATAAGTATTATGCACCTCAACGTATTTTTTCACACCTTATAATTTTGTAATAAATATTTAACAATTTTGTAATAATTAAGCGATCTGATATGAGGAGTAATGTTATTAATTTCTAAAAATTGTATTTAAATTTAAAAATTGTTGAATTCTTCAATTATTTTAAGTGTCTTAAGAATTGTCTATACAAGGCCCCTTAAAAATCGAGACTAGAAAAACGCAATTCGAATGTTTTATGACATTGCTATCTAAGTACAAAATTCGTTTTATACACTAAAGAACTTAAAAACGAAATTTTTTCAAATTTTATTCTTAAAGCATTTTTGAAATTCAAATATATTTTTTGTAGGTATATTTAAAAAAAATGAATAACATTTGATAACAATTTACAACAGTAATAAGCTATAGCTTTAAAAAATTTAATAGGTGTTATATATTGCTTTGCTTTGCTATTTTATTTTTATTTCGTATAATTTGGTTACCCAAAAGTCTAATAATTAACATTTTCGTCATACACAGGCTGATATTTAAAGAAGTATAGTAATATTATACAGATAACAGATAGGTCGTTTTATTTATGACTTGCAATAACGCCAAATTATGATAATATAAATAATAATGAACTTATATACATTTTTAAAGTCCATCTGCTATTGTAATATGTTTAGTGTATTAAATCATTAAAAAAAAAAATCTGGGTTTTTRTTACCTATATATTGCTCTACCTTTTAGAAATGAGTTGAAAGGTAAAATATGACTACTGAATAAAAGAGCATTTATTCTTTAGTTTGTCCTYTATGACCTAATATAATTTAATTTACTGCAGTTCAATGTATGACATTAAAATTTAATTTCTGGAGCCAAGGTATGSCAGTCAGTGAAAATTAGAAGATTTTAGACCAAATGCACCTAATATATGCCTATTTATAAAAGATTATAGCAATGGAAAATCAAGAAGGATGACCAAATATAAAAACACTGTTATAATGAAGAAGTCAYATGGACGGTATATGATTCTTAAAAATCAATAGTTTTCGCCCTTTTACAATATGAAACCTTAGTAAGTAAATAATTGTTAATACCTTATACTGGCAGTACTTACACATTTATGGTGGTTTGGTTTCTATATTTATTACTTGGTTATAACTCATAACTTAATATTTCATTAAAATTTTAAAATATAAATTAATTTTTTTGTTAAGTTTAATAAATACAGTAACAAATATTACACAGCATTAACATTTGAGAATTATTTCCTTAGAGGATCAATGTCATTAGTTTTGTCCTAAAACTATAAAAAGTTGTAATATTATTTAAATTTATTAAGTATTATATGTTCAAAACATTTTCAATATTTTGTTACATATGAAGAGAAAAAAAATAAACATACAATAAAATACTAATAATCAAAATTGAATATACAAATTTAAATATAATTTACTTTTATTGAAAAAATTAATACCAACACGACACAACAAATATGTTTATACATAAAAATGTAAAAATGTACTATAAACAATTTCAAAAGTGACCACAATTATTACCTGACATTTGGCAATTAAATCTTCTAGTTCTTTTCTAAGAGCAATTAATTCTGGATCTTTTGGAGGCATTATATTTAACTAGTAACAATATAAAATAATGAAATGTTGTGCTCACAAAAGACAAGAATACAGTGAATCATAAACAATATGTTTAATGTCATTAGTAAGTTTAAATCCAATTAGAGCAAAACAGGGCTTCTAGATGCGTGTAGCACACACATGCACACATTAGGAGTGGTTTAATGCGGCTTGTGCAACTTTTACTTTGTGTGTTAACAATTCTAATTTACTATCACTGATGTCTTTTGATGCATTTTTAATAAGAAAATGACTTAAAAATAATGTAAGACCTTCACGGAAAAACTGCAATGTAGGATTTTTTGATGCTTTTATAAATATATGGGTGGTTTCTTCTTCATYGATATCTTGCAACACTTTAATTAAAGTCTGTCGAACGAAACTCACCATAAGTTTATTCAGGCTACCCCAGTCAACATTCTAACAAACAATAATTTATTACACAAATTGTATTACATAAAAAATTAGTATTTCAATATTACTTTTAAAATTGTGATTGGGAGTGAATTATTGCGCAACATTTGGGCTAAAAATGATGCCAGAATTGGTATTTGATTTTTTTTCAAATTGTCAATTTCTTCTAAACGCACATTTATTGATTTTTTGAAAAATGCCTAAAAGTAATTTTCATAATTAATAAWAATTAGATTATAAAATATGTTTTTAGTCATAGCTACTTGATATTTTCTATTGGATTGACACAATTGTTGTGCAACATATGCAAAAAATGGATTATACACTTTATAAACTAGTAAACAATGAATTAATACACTGACAATTTCTTCTTGTTGAAGACCTTTCAGACCCAAACGAACAAGTTTGTTAAAAGCATCCAAATAGTCCTAGAAATAAGAATTTTAAATGAATACTTTTATAATAACAAGAGTTCTCTTATAAAAAGAAAACATCAGTACCAAGTATTACCTCAGCAGTGAATAAAATACAAAAAATATTTTTCCTTGTATCAGTATTCATTCGATATTTTTTTGCCATATCCAGTAGTTTTTTATCGTACATATCTTTTTTTTGTAAGTTATTATTATTTTTCTGTTCATCTCCCTTCCATGCTGAACCAACAATCCACCAACGACCTTTATTGTCAGCTAATGATTATAACAAAGGTAAAATATGTATACATTATTTTAATTGTATTATAACGCTTTAATGTTGAGGTTAAATTAAAAAAACTATAACTACCATTAAGTAAATCTTCATAGGATATAGCTAATTCTGCTGGAGTTTTATTATATTTGTAGTAAGTACGTATAACTTTTTGTATATGCTCAATGTATGTTGAGTAACATTGTTCTGAACTTGTAGGTATTTTATTTACATTATTATTTTTTATASCTGATAGAATTTCCAACATAAATTTTACTCTAGAGCTGAAAATATATTTTACAAATTACAAAAATTTAAAATTATATATGAAAACAAAAAAATAATTACTCTRATACAAATATCTTCTAGTACCTTATTGTTGATTCACAAGTATCTGAACTTTTTTTTTGTATGTCTAATAACAACTTTTTTATTAATGTAGGATTATCTTTTCTAAGATTAAATCCTATAGTTCTTAAGATACTTAGAATTAGATCAATATGCTTTTCTTCAAACTTAAAAAGTAGTTTGTCTAAAATTTCAAAAATAAAACCACTATGGAATACCTAAAACAATATAAAATAATTAGTATCATGCAATTGAAAAAAAACTTTACATTTGAGCAACATTTCAGCAATTTCCAATCCTGTCTTTGTYGCCTGAAATCTATCCGTTAATTGTGAATGATTACTAGTGTGAGTGAAATTCAATGCAAATATCACTCTTGTATACACATTAATAGTGAAATAACTCGATAATATAAAATTCACTAGGTATAAAATTTACTTCTTGATTTGATAAAATTTAAAAGTAGTTAACATTGTTTGATTTTGGAAAAATATTTGAAAAAAGCAAAAAATGTTTGTAGATTGTATGAATCATTTTTAATTTTTTATTGTATTTCGTACGATTTACAGACGATTTTCTGCTGAATTCAAATTTTTTCAGATATATTTTTACAAATATATTTAACTAAATTTAATATTATAATA